ATAGTTATTGACCCCGTTAATAAAAACTTCCTGCTCGACAACTCGTGTCCCCAGAATGAACTTTAACTACGAGGCAACGCCTCGGGAGTCGCTCGCGATAGCGCCTGCTACGCGCTCGGTAGGCCATCCCGCCAGGCCGCTCTGTGGGACAGCGGTCGGACAGCGGCCAGTCGCGATTTTATGGGGAGTATCGCCACGTCTCTGTTTGTGGCCTCATTTCTGAGCCCACAAACCGGGCGATCAGCTTTATCCGACCAGACTATAGAAGACCCTTTTTGGGGCGATAACGAAACGATATCGGACGCTCCCAGCCTCACGCCGTTGACATGTTGACAACCTCCGACTGTGTTTATTTCCTCTCGAAAGTTTTGGGCCTGAAAAAACTTGCAACTTGGCGGATGATTTGTTTCGTTGACCCTCGTGCCTCGTGATTCACTTATCACGATTGATAGGCGAAGGATGGCGAAGGTGAGAAAGGGACATGTAAGCGTAAGCAAAACCGTGACTAGAATAATTTATTAATTATAGAAAGACTTTCACTGTATATTCAATAATTATTGGTCGTTGCGATATGGAATCAGTGATCGACGCGTACGAAATGTTGGTCAAACTCACCGTCATTTCGGTGGTGCGACGTCTCTTTCGAGATTAAATCAACTTATTTGGATCACACTGAAGATAAAAGAACGCAATAAATGGCATTTGCTGAAAACAAAAGTTTGAATCAACAAAAGATACTTTAATCAAAAAATTAATTTAAAATAGAGAACTATGGGTAACAGACCCTCTTTACGTGTAAGAGAGTAAATAAAACTTTCTACATTGTTAAAAGATTGCTTCTCTAACTTCTCTGGTATAAACATTTTATATTCCATAACAAGAGGGATAGTCCTATAAAATTGGAAAAGGGGCTCTATGACGTATGGTCTCTATGATATACAGCACCGTAAGTAGTTAAAAAACAAACACTAAAAAGACGCTAATCAACAACGACTGTATACAGGTGTGCAACGAAAATCACAATACAAAAAATAAATTGAGACACAAATTGAGACGATAAATCACATAAATATTTAGAGTGAAGGAAGGAAAGTCACCCCTTTAGTGTCCTTATTCTGATCACAGAGTAGACCTCGAAGCTTGCAAATTTCGATGACTTGTTCACTGTTCAAAAGCTTCCGATTTCAGACCATGTGAAAAGTATATCTGAAATATTTTTACGGCCGCTGAAAAAGAGCGAGATCGTACAAATACTTTAGACAAAAAGATGGCACGAAATCATTGAGAGGGAGGGGGCTATTCCTTTCGTTAACCTTCGGGGGAATAAGGAAATTACATTAATAACTGACGACTTTCGCTGAAGCTTGAGTGGCACTGTGAACACGCGCACGAATTCGACTTGTTTCGGGTCGGGTAGAAATTGTTTCTCTCCTAAAGTGTGGAGTTGGCCGTGGCAGTGGTTCCGCTGCGCGTCCATAGCTTGCAGCCTGGGGGAGGGAGAGAGAGCACCGCCGCCGCCCGGGGGGTATCGCCGCAGGGGGGTGGACTGACGGCACTAGCGCCCCAGCAGCACGGCCAGGGTGAGGGGCGCGAGGGCGATCAGGGCGATCGAGGGGGCGGGCCGGGCGCCGGGGTTGCAGCCGTCGTAGTCGCACGTCAGGATGCACCCGGACATGAGCTGGTCCTGGTAGCGGAAGTGGCCGCACTGCGAGTCCATCGTCTTGCGCACGCACGCCCTTATCACCATCAGCTCCCCCGTGTTCACTGCGATCACAACGCAAAACAGATAAGTCGGGCAACAAAAACAAAAACTATTACATCACGAGGTTCTGAGCACGAGTGTGATGGGTCGAGATGTGGTGATACACTCTAAATGTCAAGGACAATTTTTGTAAATAGCACCGGACTTCTGCGTGCATAACTGAATTCAGATACAATATTGTGACTTGCTAGTCACTAAATGTGTGTTGGTAAGTAACAATATTGTATCTGAGCTAGTTGTGCACACAGAAGTCCCGTGCTAGTTACAAAAATTGTCCTTGGACATTTAGAGTGTAAGTATGCCGCCGGGCTCACCGTTCGTGCCGATGAGCTTGATGCAGAAGTTGGCCGGGAACACCCCGATGTGGCCCGTCTTGGGGACCATGCATTTTTGGCTGTAGAAGGAGTGCGCCGGGTGGAAGGGGTCCTCACAGTAGGGATCGGAGCCGTTGTGGCTGGAGCAGGTGTAGCAGTTGATGGCCTCGGTCCCTGAAAAGAAAAGAAAAGTCGTCGCTGTAGCCCGGACGCGGCAAGCCCAACGGTGGGCCTCCTGGACGCAGACGGGTAGGCCGGGCCGTAACGCACCGCTGTTTAGCGGGGCTGCCTACCCTGCGCTCGTAAGGCGCTCCGGCCGAGGAGCTAGCCGAGAGGGCCCTGGCCTCGCAGGCACCTGTGAGAGCCGCGGCCGCCATCGCCCCCCCCACGGTGGTGTAAGGACCACTACACAAAACGACCTGCTGATTTATATTACCTCTTCTCGGGCCATCGCGCTCACCTCGGCTGAATCCGAGAATCAGGAAGACAAGCGTGGCCACCAGCCGAAGAGGATCCATGGTCCAGCACCAGCCTGACAGCGACATCAAAAAACTGCGTTAAAAAAACTGGATAACGTAGGGAGAGTCACAAGGGAAGGCGGTGGTAGGTGGTAGGGGTGTGGGCTGGGCGGCAGGTTATCGCGCTCACGAAGAACGGGTGACACCATTTAATCAAAGGAGCAGATCCAACCACAATAACAACACAAAAACAAAAACAAAGACGACGTTCTGTCCGCGGGCGAAACTCAACAGGGGATGCAAAACATGGCTTCTTAGCGTGTCTGCAAGGGGGCGGGCGAGCCATTATATTCGCGAAAAATAAAAAGGTCAGAGTACGAGATGGGAAAACAAAAGGTCTCCTGCCGCTCGCGCGACAGAGCGGGGAGGGGGTGGGGGGCTGGAGACGACACAACGCCATCACAGTTGGCGCTGGCTGCAGCTAGCTCCGCACCCCGCGCTCTGCATCAAAAGACGTTGACTGGCGCGTGCGCTTGTACCTCGTCGGCGCCTGGGTGCGGTCTCTAATCGGGCGATAGCCTGAGCCTGGCGGGGCGGCCCATGGCGGCAGTCCTGAGCTCACACGGGGCGAGGCGCGCGCGGGGCTGCACGGGTGGTGGCGGCATGGGGCGGGCGAGCGAGGGCTCCAAACTGCTGCCCAGCTCGCAGTGGGGCCCCAGCCGCGGCCCCAGCGGCCGCGGGTACGGCATCCCCCACCCCCGTCGCGCATGCGTTCGGATGGAACATCACCCCCACCCTCTTTGGTACAGCGACCCGCAGCGGGGGCGCAGCAGCCCCCCCCCCCCCCCCTTGCCCTGTTGACGTTTGGTCCAAGAGGAGGCCAAAGGGTGGTACCTCTACCCCCCCCCCCTTTTCCGTGAAATTTTGTGCTCATTTTTACAGTATCTCTTTTTGTGGGGAAGAGAGGAAAATAAAAATTCGACCTCTACGTCTGGTTCCTCTCTATCGCAGTCCGGCCAGGTTTTTCTCAGAACAAAAAGTTTCTGGTGGCTCTCCCATACCTTCCCTTTCCCTCCCTTTTCCCTCTCGCTCCCAGGCTGGTCGCTAGATGGCAGCACACACTTGACCCAACCTCGGAACAAATGCACAACGGAAATACAGCAGACGATTCTGCTTTCTGTTTGTTTGGGTCCGTTATGTATTATGTAAAAGAAATCTCGCTTTTTTCCGCTTTGAACTGACAACTTTTGAAGTGATAACTGGTGCAACCCTTTGAAAATCTAAAGGCTTTGTAGTCTTGATCCACATTAATTTCTGCTGCCATCTTCTGTCAGTTCTTTGTGCGTTCCGGTTGGACCATAACCCCGAAAGAACCCAGATTAGTATATCACATTGCGGCGAAGATTACCTTTATGCTTTATTTTTCAGGCCATCAGAATGGAGTTCCCCTCTACACAGCAGTCACCTCGTGACCCCTTAATGGATCAGTTGTCGATAAACCGTCGGATAAACAACTACAAAGAATGTTGCTACAGAGCTTATGGGTTTGGACTGTCAGCTCTTTCTATAGGTGCTAAATGAATTAATTACCTTTACTTGGGATTCTTATTTTCATAGATTGGAAAAGAGCACGTGAAGTTGAACAGTTCTGAAATTTTCACTGCACCCTAAAATGTTTAAGACAGTCTGTCCTCCTTTCATTGATCTTGCGTTGCTTTCATTCATGAAAACGTCATCCCAGAAGATTGTTTCTGTCTAAATAGCCTGAACCTTCTTTGTACTTGTGTGAGTGCTAATGGTTTAAATCTTGTTGCAGCGGCAGCCGCCTCCTACTTCTCTCTAAAACTGTTGCCTTTACGGACAACTCACATTATAATGTTGTCAGGCATCTTTGGGTCTGTGGCTGGCTATAAAGTATCCAAAATGAAATCTGAAGAATGTAATCTAATTCTTAAAAGTCACAGAGAGTCAATGAAAAACCCTGTTCAGCCAGAGGCTACAGAATTGTGAGCTATCCTCTTGATGTTGATTGAGGTGCAACAGCAACATTGTAGTTAGGTCTGTGATGTTTTTA